GGCACAAAGACATAAAAATGTTCTTTATCATCTTACCTTTGCTGGGGTACAAGGGATCTTCCAAACTGGGTGCTACGGTAACAAACAACTCCAGCTCCCACTAGCTCAACTGAGAGCTACCTATAATACACATAAATGATGGAGGGATTGAATTAAACCTCATTAGCCATCAAATGCCTCTGCCAAGGAAGGGACAACATCTCTCCAGCTTCTTTAAAATGAAGTCTAGAAAGTTAACTCCTCATCTTCCTCCACTTTCAGTTCAAATGCTGTTAAGATTCTGGATGGAATGCTCTCCTTCCAAAGATCTGTACATCAACAGCAAAGCTCATTTTGCCAATTCTACCCTCAGGCTTTCCACTTTGGAATAAATAAGGTCTTAATGTGCATTTCTTAAAAAAAAAAAAAAAGACCACACCTTTGCATTATAATCTATCTGCACCTATTGTAGAGTTACTAGAGCATCAACTGCAATTCAAAACTTCCAAAAATATGAACAAAACCCCAGTGAAAACTGAAAGAGGAGTTACAGATTGACTCCCTTCCCTAGAAACACACACCCAGGTTTCTTCCACTCGGGCAATACATTGCAGCAAGCAGCACCACACAAGTGAATCAAGAGATCTAAATGAGGGATATTTGTTTTATGATCTTGATTGACAGTGAACTTCCACTTCTCTCTCTGCCTGCCAGGAGGTTAGCAAGAGCCAGTGAGTTACCACCACATAAAAATCACAACCAAGAGATATATTTAGTCACCATGGTTCAAGGAAAATGATTGCTTACACTGAAAATAAATTTAGCAATTGTTTCCAGTTTCTGATTTTCACTGACGAAGGCACAACCCAGCTGCTTCACATTCCAGTAGCCTTCAGCTGTCTTTTTTCTCCACTCCTTGCCCACTTCCTTCTTACAACTGCTAAGACCATCTCAATCCTGCAGCAGTTATCCCACAGGCTGCATTTCGGAACACACCACCTGTCAACCTACAATGGCTTACAAAAGATGCCAAATCCTGCTCCTTGTGCCACTTTGCAGAAATCAGCAATCATCTTGTACCTGTATTTTACCTCTACACAAAACCAGCCTGAATGGTTGATGCTGTCTGAAGAAGTTGCAGTAAAACACACGTGGGATGTCACTATGGGAGCAGCACACAGGAGGAAACAGGAGGTGCTGAAAGCCTGACTAAGGAAGAATTGGAACTGAACTGCCTTTGGGGTTGAGAGGTAAGTTTTTTCAAGGGTCTAATTTTCAGATTTCAGGTAACTCCTACTTTGTCTGAAAACCACCAGCAGAGAAGCACTTAAGCTGGTCAACTGCAAAATTTTCTAACCTGAAACCCCTCACTTAGTATTGAGAAATATTTTACAGCTGTGAATACACAACAGAGCTGAGAGAGTCCTGCCTGGTAACTCACCTAAGCATGACAGACAAAGAGAAACTGCACAAAACTGTACAGGTATATAAAACAGGCAGGCTAATTTCCATAAAATGATCCAAGGCATGATGACAGTTCAAAATATACCCTCTGCAAAAACAAAATCTCCAGGAAACTTCACATCTGTACAAAAACATCCACAGATGAACAATCCAGGATTACAAAAATTGGCATGAAGGGCTACAGATAGAACATTAAATTTCTACAAAGATGGGAATAATGTGATCTCCTGAATTGTTTCTTCAATTTTGTCATTTTCTTAATAACAGAGCTCTCCTGGAATTACCCCTAAATGTTTATCCCACCAAAACTAAAGGGTGAGAATTTGAGGTGAATTTGCTTATCAGGGAAGTGCTTATGAGTAAAAGGTAAAGCCAACAGTGTTTTTGGTCTACTGGGAATAAACACATCCCATTGAGTCCTGAGCAGAACAGAGATCACTGCCTGCACTCCAGGTAGCTAACACCCGAAACAGCTCTCTCAAACAACCTTTAGCAGGCAGCTATTAGAAAAACAAGTTCACAAGGGAAATGAAAGCCCTGAAAGAAATAACAAGACTAAGACTGAAAACCAAGCAGAATAAACCTTCAAAATATGGCACCCATATGTTCTTTGGTTTTAATAAAAGAGCATTTTTGACTTGTTTCATGACAAGCTTTTGGTTCAGAGCTGATGGTGTCTAATTCCTCCCTTACTCTCCCTGAATGACGGAGAGTAGCTGAATTCCCTGCAGCACGTAATCCATCAGGTAAATAAAAACAGGAATTCGTGCATCGCCATGGCAACAGGAAACCAACGCAGAATCTGTGACCTCCTCTGCTCTTTCTTGGCATCCCTATTTTGGATTTCACATCAAAACCAGAAAGAGCAAATATTCTCTGAAAGTGAAGACAAAAAGTCACAGTTCTGGAGTAAAGAGAAGCCAATGGCCATTCCTTCTCTTCAAGCCAAGTAGGGTTCTGCTTGGGAAAAGTGTCTGGAAGTCTCATGGTGGCAGCCTAACAAAGCAGGGCCTCTAACACTAGCAAACCCCAAATAAACCATCTTCTCCTACGTTACCAGCTGGCCACCCTTCAGTCTAAAGCAGAGCTCTGAATTGCTCTACAGTGATCCTTCTGTTGATTAAACAGCAGCACTGAGAGGCTCCAGAGGGAGCCTTGTCTGCTCTTCCTTCATGGGCAGGATGGAAGCTGTTATCTCTAATCATTTATTATTGTTTTTTATGGAGTGCCAACAAGGTGTTTCAGTTAAGGACCCAGGGAGCAGATGTATGAGGGTCTCTGGGGGTCTGACCCTGCAAGGGGTAACACATTTTTTTCCAGCAGCCTGTCTAGATGGACACATGAGTCAAACCAAAGCCTACTCCAGAGGCTGTCCCCATGGCTTGTGACCAGGCAATAGTCTATTTTATTTATAACATAATGCACCAATTTCTGTCCACAAATTCAAATGTACACGAATGCACAGACCTTGGACCCCACAGCATTTGTTTCACAAGTCTGTATCCTTTGTTCTGCTACTGTACACGTTTTGACAAACATTACCCCAGAACGGCTGTGGTGCTACAAGCTGTGTTTATTCGGTGACGCTATTAACCAAACTGTTTGTGTCAATCAGAAGTTCAAACACTCAGAAACAGCGATGGAGACAGTGCTGCTCTGGAACAGCTGGCTCCCAGCCCTCCTTTCCTGACTCTTCTCCTCTCATTTATATTTGGACTGGATTTGTTGGTTTTTTTTTTAAATATCCTTCCTAAAGAAATGAAAGTACAAGCAGTTGAAAGATGACAGATTCCCAGATTTACAGTTTCTCTTGTTCAGCAAATCATCACTGTGATAAGACTTCCACTAGAACAAATGTCCCTGCATCAGGGCTTCTCCCACTGCATCTTCCAACTGCACACTCACAGCATTGACCTGGGGATGGATCTCGCACAATCCTTGAATCCTTCAGTGGGAGCTCAGTGTGGCTGGTCTCTAGTTTGCACAGGGTATGATTTTATATGGTATTTTATTGCTATTATATGGTATTTCATATGGCATTTATATTTATATGGTATTTCTTGGCCTCGCTGCTCCATTGTTTATGGAACCGTGCTGTTTGTGTGTGTCTCCAGAGTCATCTTCCTGTGCCTGAGCTCCTCACACTGCCTCTCTGGTGTGGAGCTCTATTTACTATTCTCCCAGGGTTATTTACTGCACGCGAATAAACAAAACGTGATCACTTATTTATACGTCTGTAATTACTGTCTACAGTTACTAAATCCCAAGCCAAATTCACCTCCAGCATAAACAAGTGGCAATTATTCCAGAGCTGGCCCGAGGTCTGTGTACTCTGCTAACACCTTCCCTGCTCGCTGGAGTAAAGGACAAGCATGGAAAAGCTCAGAAGGAGTTGGGATACTCGGAGAGGGATGGAGCACGGGATCAACCTGCGATATTTCTGGAGTCACATTTGTTCTGCTGATGCGGGGCACGCTTGCCGGGCAGTAACTCACGCCGAGGTGCTGCACGGCTGCCAGGCTGCTCATCCATCCCCCGGGGCCGCTCCAGAACCCGCAGAACACACCAGGGCGGGATGGGCACGGCCAGTGCTGCCCGCTGCTCTCCTTGGAACCGGGCATCCCTCCTGCATCCCTGGCGGATGTCCTGGGAAGCCTGGATGCTCCACACAGCCCTAGCCGGGCTGCTGCCCTGCGTTCCCCAGAAGGAGACAGCCGAGCTATTCCCCACAATGAAATATACAAAACAGCATCGATTTTTCTCTGCTAATTAAATACAACATAATTAAACTACGTAAGTTCGCTGCTTGATTTGCACAGCACTAATTGAATCTTTAAGCGTACTACTCCCACTACAGAGAAAAACAGGGTCATTGAACCATCTAAAGTGACAACTGAGAAGCAGGCACGACTCCAGAAGCACAGAGAGACAATATGATCCGTGCCTGAGCGTTTCCTTGTGAGAGCTGGAGGAACCTCAGCAGCCTCCCCTGGCACTGGCTCTTGTGAGCACCCCAGGCATAAGAGAAGAGGGAGGAAAAAACCTGCAAGTTCCCTCTGACATTTGCCCACGGACTCATCTTTTCTCATCCTGCACCAACACCAGGAGAGGAAAGTTGGGAGAAGTTGAAATTATTCATTGCGCCTAGGCCCCAAAGCGCTGCAGCGCCCGGCTGTGCTGATGGCTCGGCTGCCCGGCAAGGACGGAACGGGCGCAAGAACACAAAAATTCAAATAAAGGAGTTGGGAGGAAAAAGAAGGAAACGGCGAGGAAAAAGGAAAACGCGGAGGAGACACAAAGCCCGAGCCAAACAGCGCCCGGGCACCGCAGGACCAGCCCCCGGGGGGACGGGCAGAGCATCCCCGCGGCCCCGGGCCCGGCCCCGCTCGCTGTCGGGAGCCCCGCCGGGCACGGGGGTCCCTGCCCGGCTGCCCCCGCCCGCCGGGCCCGCGGCACCGCCGGCACCTCCCGCGGCTCCTCCGGCGGCTCCGCGGGGCGGGCGGCGAGCGCGGCCGGCCCGGCGCGTCCCCCCGGCCCGCGGGCCTCGCGCCGCTCACCTGCTTTCTCGATCTTGCCGGACATGTCGGAGCCGGCGCTCGGCGCTCAGGCCCGGCGGCGCACGGGCTGCCGGGCTGCCGGGCTGCCGCTGCAGCCGGGCGCGATGCGGGAGCGGCTCCAGCGGCGGCCGCGGAGCTGCGCCCGCCCCCTGCCCGCTCCGCGGAAGGGGCGGCCCGGGGCGCCCGGCGCGCACGCCCGGAGCGCGGCGCCGCCTGCCGGCCGCAACGGGAACCGCGGGGCGGGGCCGGCGGCGCGGCGGGCGCGCAACCCCCGAGGAACCCCCGCGGGCCCGAGCGCTGCGGAGGGCATCGGGATCCGGGATGGGCATCGGGATGGGCATCGGGATCGGGGATGGGCATCGGGATCCGGGATGGGCATCGGGATACGGGATGGGCATCGGGATGGGCATCGGGATCGGGGATGGGCATCGGGATCCGGGATGGGCATCGGGATCCGGGATGGGCATCGGGATCGGGGATGGGCATCGGGATCCGGGATGGGCATCGGGATCGGGGATGGGCATCGGGATCGGGGATGGGCATCGGGATCGGGGATGGGCATCGGGATCCGGGATGGGCATCGGGATCGGGGATGGGCATCGGGATACGGGATGGGCATCGGGATCGGGGATGGGCATCGGGATCCGGGGTGGGCATCGGGATCGGGGATGGACATCGGGATGGAGGGATGGGTATCGGGGATGGGCATCGGGAACCTGGATGTAATCCTGCAGTGGGCATCAGGAACCTGGGGTGGAATCCCAGGGTGGGCATCGGGATCGGGGATGGGCATCGGGATGGGGGATGGGCATCGGGGATGGGCATAGGGAACCGGGGATGGAATCCCGGGGTGGGCATTGGGATCGGGGATGGGCATCGGGACTGGGGACGGAATCCCGCAGGGGCATTGGGATCCTGGGTCAGGCATCGGAATCCCAGGGATGGGAATTGGTATTGAGGGATGGACATCGGGACCCTGGGATGAGGATCAGAATACCAGGATGGGCATCAGGATCGAGGGATGGGATCAGAATCCTGAGATGGGCATTGGGATCCTGGGATGGCATCAGAATACTGGAATGGGCATCAGGATCATGAGAGGAGGACTGGAATCCTGGGATAAGGATCAGGATGGGCATCAAGATCCAGGGATTGGCATTGGGATCCCGAGATGGGATCAGAATACTGGGATGGGCATCAGGATCCAGGGATGAGGATCAGGATCCAGGGAAGAGCATTGGGATGTTGGGATGGGATCAGGATACTGGGATGGGATCAGGATCCAGGACATGTCTGGCTGGGAGGGTCCACAGTGGGTCAGCTGCTCTGACCTCCTGCTCAAGGAGGGTCATCCCAGCACATGGCCCAGGGCTGTAACCACACGGGTCTGGGATATCTGGTGAGGGACACTCTACATCCTCTCCTGTCTCTGTTCCAGTGTGTGGTCATTGCATGGGAAGGAAGTCCTTCCTCGTGTCCAGGTGGAACTTGGTGTGCATCTGTTTCTGCCCCTTTCCTTGTGTCTGAGTGGTTGGCACCACCAGGAAGAGCCTGGTTGGATCTTCTTGGCATTCCCTTTTAAATACTTACGTACATTAAGGTCTCTTCTCGAGGCTGAACAGCCCCAACTCAGTCTTTTTCTAGGAAGCCAGGTGGTTTTCCCCCCAAAATGCAATCCTCAGGATGCACAGTTGGAAGGAGCAGGGACCCCCACGCTGAGCTGCCTGGGGATGTCCTGCTGATGCTCCTGGCCCTTCAGAATCTCCTCAGGCCTCACACGTTCTGCCTTTTTTCAAATTCACTGCCATGGCAGAATCTTTCTTTTGGGGCAGTCGGCAGCAAAATTAAAATTAATCCATTACAATTTACTCTCTCCAACTGTCCAAAAGAAGGCTGTGGCAAGGTGAAGATCATCCTCCTCTCCCAGGCAATCAACTACAGAACAAGGGGCAATGGCTTCAAGTTATGCCAGAAGGTTCAGATTGGATATCAGGAAAAATTTCTTCATGGAAAGAGCGGTTAAGCATTGGAACAGGCTGCCCAGGGCAGTGGTGGTGTCACCGTCCCTGGAAGTGTTCAAAAAATGAATAGAAATAGTCTAATGGGCATGGTGGTACTCACTAGAAGATTGGACTGATGATACTGGAGGTCTTTTCCAACCTTCGTGATTCTGTGATCCTGTGAGAAGGGAGCAAAGGTGGGATCTGTGCAAAGCTGACCTCAGCAGGTCCTCACAGCATCCACAGACACCCCAAATCCACGCAGATCAGGCAAACGTGAGCCCAGAGCAGCCCCAGCCAGGTGCCATGACCCTGCTGCTGCTCCCTGACACCCTCAGCTCTGTGCCTGCCACCCCAGCTGCCTTTAATCTGAGCCCAGGGAGCAGTGGCAGTGCCTGGGGACAAGTGGCATCACTCCACAGGGAAGTCACAGCAGAGCCCGGGGGGAGGGCTCCAGGCAATAATAAATTAATTATGGTCCTATTTGAAAATGAACTCATTTCTACAACTTAATTAGGGGCAAACACCTCAACAATGACTTACTGGTAGCCCTATGCTACAGGCCAATAAATCTGAAGCCTGGTGAGCTGTCAGAGGCTGTTTACTTCCCTTATCAAATAAATCATTCACGAGGCTGCTATTTCTGTAAGCTTTCCACACAACTTCGAAAGTGACTTCATGAGTCTGTTTAAACATCTCACACACCCAGGGCTGGGCAGAAGGTACAGGAGGAAATGTCTAAGAGGCAGAGTATGCATTTTTCTCTCATTAATTTAATTTTTTTTTCATTGAGAGCCTTGTGGAGGGTTCCTGAGTGGATTTGCTTAATAAATCCAATAAATAGATAAAATTTTTTTTAAAAAAGAAAGAAATATTTAGGTGGAGGATTTCCTCTGGCTCACACAGATGTAAATGGTGGCTGTGGCAGCCAGGCTGAGCTGTGCTGACTCACTGGGATTAGTGAGCAGTAGTAACAAGGAGCTGCAGCGGGTGATGCTAATGAGAGCAGACCCGGCTGGGAGCACACACAGGAAGCAGACAGATGAAGTAACAAGCTGCTATTCTTACACCCTCCCGTTTTCAGACTTGGGCAAGGGAGAAGGAGCGTGTGTGCAATAATGTGAGATATGAACAGAACAGCTACTAAATTAGAAGGTCTTTTCATAGTCTCTGATATAAAAAACCCTGTTGTGCCCATGATGTGCTGCCTTCCGGGGGATGCTGGAGTTTCTCCTGTGGTTTCTGCATTGAGATGTAGCTCACAACGCTGGGAAAACCTGATGCTTCTAAATATCCCCTGGAGTCAGCTGGGGAAAATCATCTCAGAGCTGATTGTGTCCATCCGAGTGTGTTGTTAAGGGCAGAGCTGTGGCCAGGGGAGCAGGAGGAGATCTGTGAAGAGAGATGTCACTTTTCAGGCTGTCACAGAGCAGTGTGAGACCCACGGGGATGGTTCTTGCAGCACATGTGGATTCAGGGAAAGGGATGGCAGTAGCTGGTTACCTTCAATGGTTCAAGACCCTACAAAGAGCCAATTTTGCAGGTGCTGATGCTACAGCAGGAAGAAGAAATTAAGAATACGCTGTGTACCTGCTTTGCTATCGGATGAGAGCACAGTGTTAAAGTTCACCTCACAGCCAGAGACGTGCCAGATGTGAGGGCAACATCTGGAGCCTCCTTCCCCAAATATTTCTTCTCTGGGAGAAACTCCCCGGCAGCAAAACCTGCCAGGGATGCTCAGCAGATGGTGAAACCCCAGACTGGGCTGAGAGCACCTAGGGAGGGGCAGCAGGCACAAACTGCAGCCCCACAGGGTCATTTCCTGCAGCGAGCCGCTGAGCTGCACAAGTGACCCAAGGAACGGGGGAAATTGTGCAAGAAATGCCAGCGAGGCTCGAGCAGAGCAGTTAAAGAGCGCTCCTGCCCTCTAGTGAAGATTTAGCCCAAATTCCGGGCTGCTCCCGTCCCAGCCCTGCTCTCCTGTCCCCCTCCAGTTTGTGGCATCAGGGCTCAGGTCCTGCTGTGGCTGTTCCTGCAGAAATCCCAGGGGGTAGCGGCCATTCACCCAAACCAAGCTGTCCCAGTGGGCTTTAGTAGCGTGGAATAACTGGGAAATTATTTAGGGGGGGGAAAGGTTATTATTTTAACAGGGAAATTATTTAGGGAAATGCAGTTTAGCCAAATGCCCTCTTGCACTTCTGCACCAGCACTGGCCTTGAAAACATCGCTGCTCAGGATTGTGCCAGTGTGATTAACACTCCAAAAGTTCACTGAAAAACCGTATCCAACATGACAAACACATATGCCAAGTGACCAACACACCACAGTGACCTGATGTGCCCCACCCCTGCTCAGCCTGTGGTGGAAAGTTGTGGCAACTTGTTTTTGGGGTGGAAAGTTGTGGCAATTTTCGGGGGGTGGAAAGTTGTGGCAAATTTTTTTGCATCACTTCCCAGTGGGAAGTGGCAAAAAAAAATATTATTGGATGCAGCTAAAGCTGAAGGGCAAGGTTATAATCTCCTGTTAATGGCTGCAACTCCTCTGAGGTCTTCAGGGGTGGAAAAAATAGGAGTGGGATGAGGTGGAGGAGAGGAATTGTTTGGGGAAGGACAAGACAGCACAATCATGGGGGACACACTCTGGGTGAGAGACTCAAAAAAGGACAGAGCTCTGTGCCAGTCCCCTGGAAAAATACCTGATGCAACCTGCATCAAAGTTCATATGAGGGGGAAAAAGAAAAAAGGCAAATGGGAGACACTGACTTTGGGCAAATTCCTCACTTTCAGCTCCTCGAGGAAAGGTCAGTGTTCAGGATTTTTTGGCACAGCAGGTGATGGTACCTGGCTGGTGGTCCCGGCTGTGTGACAGACCCCCGTGCTCTGTGGGGTAAGAGACGATGATGATGATGATGATGATGATGATGATGATGATGATGATGATTATTATTATTATTATGATGATTATTATTATTATTATTATTATTATTATTATTTATTATGATGAGAGCTGATGGTCTGGGCAGACTGTCAGGGCTCCCCCATGGCCATGGGGCTGGTCCCCCTGAGGGGGTCTCACTCCAGGGAGAGTTTCCACTTGTTCTCCCATTCTGACACGGTCTGAACTTGCTTTCTCGCAGCTTT